ATTATCAGGACAGTGGAAGAGGACATTACATTTTGAAAGTCCATATAACATAGTATTTTCCAAAGGAGACTCTCTCTTTCTATACACACACACACTTAAATAACCGTAGAGAATGCATAGTATATGCTTTTATCTCTTCTGTTTTACTCAAAGGTCCTTGAGAGCATACCTAATTCAATTTTGTATCCTCAAAGTGTCTAGCACAGAACCCTCTCTGGAACAGAGTAATAAATATTTGTTAAAGCTATTAGGAATATTATTACAATAAAGCATTTTATACAAAGAACCTATTTCTGTGTTTCCAGTAGACTGTTCATCATAACAATATTCTAGTTATTGTAACTTTCCCCACCAAAAAAAACAAACCAGTTGCTACCATGTTGATTCTGACTCATGGTGACGCCATGTGCTACAGACGAGAACTACATTGTGCAGGGTTTTCAAGACTGCGCAATTTTTCAGAAGCAGACTGCCAAGCCTTTCTTCTGAGATGCCCCTGTGTGGGTTCAAACTGCCAATCTTTTGGTTATACAGTTGCGTACTTAACCACTTGGGCCACCCAGGGACTCTGAGACTTCCCATAAATAAGCTAGTACAAAAACAACAAAATATTTCTCATCTCCAGTTACTTGCTTGAAAACGTCAATTAACCAGAACTTAGCCAGCCCAAATCTCCTTCTTTGCAGATTCTTATCCTGCAATGCAGGTTTTAAAAATAAGTCAACCACAGACACAAAAGAACAAGGGTTTATTAAAAATAAATTGGTATCAAATATATATTCAGACTAAAAACTATGTTACTTATGGTTTTCATGCTTTAAAATGATTATTGATGCTTTTAATAATGACCTTTAAGCATCACAAACCCTCAAATTAAAATATATATAATTTAAATTTATAACATATATTACAACCAAACAAACCAAACACACTGCCGTCGAGTTGGATCCAACTCATAGTGACCCCTCCTTGGATTTCTGAGGCAGTATCATTACGGATGTAGATTGCCCAACCTTCCTTCCGAGGATACTACTTAAATAATAAAGATGAGTAGATTAGATAACTCAGAAAATTTTTTTAAAAAATCTTCTTTTACAGTAGTTAGCAAAAAAATGTTCAATTAGCTATAACATATAAATTAATTGCCTGGAATATGTCAGTTAACCATGGTTCTATTTCATTATGAAAACACTGATAGACCATTAACCAAGTATCTTAAATAACCAAAGTCCCTAGTCCCACCTCCACTCCTATCAGCCCCTGTAGGGTCAGTGGAGGTGCCATACCGATGGCTGAAGATATGTAACAGACTCCGGAGAATCTCCTCTTCAACAAAGGAAATGCCACTCCCCTTTACCTAGCGGGAGATATAAGACTCAGAAAAACTTTAACTTTTAACCAAGTCACCTTGCTAAAAAGCTTCTGGTACCAAGCACAGCCATCCCAACCCCAGCCCTCATCCATCCCTCTGCCACTCATCTCTTCCTATCCTTCTTTACTGTACTTCGGTGATCATCCTTCTGCCTCTTCCTCTATCTATCCTGCTTGTCCCCCCATCTCTGCTTATCAGGACTTCAATCTCCCCTACACACTCCATTTCTACTCCTGCTAGATCAAGCCTCAGTCTAGCCTACAGTGATGGCTTTTCAATCACTTTAACTATAGGGCTACTTCTGTAAATGTTCCCACTTAGAAGGTTTTAATTTGAAGTTCAAAAGATCTATGTAGGTAACAATATGTAATATAAATATATGGTTACCCCAACTGTTCCTCTGCTTAAAATAAATGAACTCCCAAAACAATAATTTTGAACTTAGCAATGTATATCAGAAGAAGCCAATAATTATTTGATAGTTTATGCTTAAAGGAGCTCTGGTGGTGTAGTGCCTCAAGCGTTAGACTGCTAACCAGAAGGTTGGTGGTTCAAACCCACCAGCGGCTCTGTAGAAGGAAGACGGGGCAATCTACTTCCGTAAAGATTTACCACCTCAAAACCCAAAGGAGGTTGCTATGAGTCAGAATCGACTTGATGGCAGTGAGTTTGTGTTTGGTTTAGTTTATACTTAAGTGGTTGGAAATCACCTAAAAAATAATTTTGAAATATTGTATCTGATGAAAGCTTGGCAATGTGCTTTATTTCTTGAATATCTATGTGCATAAATCATTGTGCTAGGCACTGTCAGGAGATAAGGATGAACAAATATACAGGCATACCTCGTTTTATTACATGTCACTTTATTGGACTCCGCACACACTGTGTTTTTTACAAATTGAAGGTTTGTGGCAACCCTTTTGAGCAAGTCTACCAGCACCATTTTTCCAACAGCATGTGCTCATTTTGCGTCTGTGTCACAGTTTGGTAATACTTAGAATATTTCAAACATTTTTATAACATTGTTGTTGTTGTTATGTGCCGTCGAGTCAGACCTGACTCATAGTGATCCCTCCTTGGGTTTCCGAGGCAGTATCACTACGGATGTAGATTGTCCCATCTTCCTTCCGAGGAGTGGCTGGTGGGTTTGAACCGCCAGCCTTCTGGTTAGCAGTCAAGTGCCTTAGGCACTACGCTACCAGAGCTCCTTTACTGCACACTTAATAGACTATAGTATAATGAAAACATAATTTTTATATGTACACAAAATTTGTGTGACTTGCTTTATTGTGAAATTTGCTTTGTTGTGCTGGTCTGGAATTGAACCCGCAACATCTCCAAAATGTATAAGATATATACCTGTATATATAAGATGTATACGATATGTACATAAATAATCACAACAAAAGGTAGAAAACATAATAAAGAGGTATGTAGAACAGGTGTTATAAGACTAATGAGATTACTTCCAATTATAAAAGTTGATCAACTGGTGTTTGGGTAAGCCTAGAAAAATTTAGACAGATAGTTATGGGATGGAGGGAGAAAAGAAATGGCATGACAAGCATGGCCAAGAGGTCAGAAATCAAAGGCTGTACTGTAGAATGGTGATAAGTCCAATTTGGCCAGAAAGTAAACTATCTGAAAGGGATGTGTGCAACATGACTTATAGGCTGAACACGGGTTTTTGACATGAAAGAGAGAACTAAAGCCACAGGACTGGAACAGAATGCCAGAGGAAAGAAAGAGGGATGTGGAGGCCAAAGAGGGTCAAGAAAAGGTAACTAGGAAGATCTACATTTAGAGGGCTTTAATGTCCTTGAAGGAGCTCTGGTGGCGTAGTGCCTAAAGCACTTGCTGCTAACCAGAAGGCTGGCAGTTCAAACCCACCAGCCACTCCTCGGAAGGAAGGTTGAGCAATCTACTTCTGTAATGATACCACCTTGGAAACCCAAGGAGGAGTCGCTAGGAGTCAGGTCTGACTCGATGGCAGTGAGTTTGATTTTGGTTAATGTCCTTGGAAAAGGAGCTCTGGTGGCATCACGGTTAAGAAGTTTGCTTAGAACCCACCCAGCAGATCATGGAAGAAAGTCTGGCAATCTTCTGTCACAGAGATTATAGCCCAGAAAACCCTCTGCAGCAGTTCTATTCTGTCACAATGTGGGGTCATTGTGAGTCAAAATAGACTCAACACCTAACAACAACAACAATGTCCTTGAAACTACTCAGGAAGAAATGGGAATATTGTTGAGTACCACATTCTTCTGAGAAAGCCATATGGAAGAAAACATACCATGTATTAGTCTTAAATCAAAGGAACAAATCATTCAATATGTCAAATGTATTAGTATTGAGGAACACTATCTAGCTATTACTAAAGTACATTTTTTACTCTGTTCAGAAAATAAGCTGTAACTCCTATCTAAAATGATGCTGAATGCTATAACTCATTTATAAACAGTGCATAGTAAATTGGGAAATCTGTTTAATCAGGTTACCTAATTCAAACTGACAAAAAGGTATTCATGAAAACCACATGATGTGCACAGATCTAAAAGATCTACCGGAAGTTCAATTAAACAGAACAATAAAACCTTACAAGTAGCTTTTTTCTACTAGATTATAAGAAAAAAAGAACCTCAAGTCAATATAGTGCATCTAGTTTGTTGACCTCAAAGGGCAGAGCTTGTCATAGTCATCTTTGAATCCCAAGAGCTTGGCATAGTACCTGGTACTTAGGCCTCCTATAAACTTTTCATGAATGAGAAAAAAATGAAAGTAAGGCCTAACAACTGGTATTTCAGATTTATTCAAAAGATTCATGGATGTGTCCTTGAGTCAATATACAATTATACAGTATACTCATAAATGATGCTTCTTCAATTTATGTCTTCCAGACACCATGAACCATCACAAAAAGACAGAACTATATATACTGGTAGCACAGTGGCTAAGGTACTTGACTGCTAACCAGATGGCTGGCGGTTCAAACCCATCAGCCACTCCTCGGAAGGAAGATGAGGCAATCTACTTCCGTAGTGATACTGCCTTAGAAACCCAAGGAGGGGTCGCTATGAGTCAGGTCCGACTTGACGGCACATAACAACAACAACAACATATATACTACAAAAGAGCCCTGATGGTGCAGTGGTTAAAGCATTAGGCTGCTAATTTAAAGGTCAGTGTTTTGAACCCACCAACCATTTGATGGGAGAAAGATGTGGCAGTCTGCTTTCATAAAGATTTACAGCTTTGGAAACTCTATGGGGCAGTTCTACTCTGTCCTACAGGGTCACCGTGAGTTGGAATCTACTTGAAAGCAGTAGATTTGGATTTATATATACTACACTACGCTTTCTAAGGTTGGGGGGAAAATAATGTATAAATAGGTATTTTGCCAACATTTTAATGTGTATTAGAACTAAAAGGTTTCTTCATTTAGCCCTAAAATTAATGAACTAGCATACATATATAATTTCTTGAACAGCCCACTTAGTTGATATTTTTATTTATCTACTGAGCTCCAAAGATTTTATTTCTAGCAATTTTCATAAGGAAAGAATGCCATTACTTAATAGACTACAGTGGTATGACTGCTTGAACAGGCAGAAAGATGATTTCTTGGTACCTTTATGGTTTCGGTGGGCACTCCAGGCTCTGGAACCTTATCCAAGTAAGTGGTCAAGTCTTGATCAACATGTTCAAACACTAATGTTAGTTTGGTTTCTCTGTCTGTTCTCGACACTGTGCACACATCAAACAACCTAGAGGGAAAAACAGATATTGAGTAAGTGGCCATAAACAAAGAAGTAACTTCTATCTTTTATACATATCCCTTATTTTTATCACATAATATGAAAAAAAAAAAGGATCAGTGGTGATCATTCCTTGTGATCATTTGTGAAGATGCCTAATGGTATGTGATACTTTAATACAAACGTTCTGGAGAGGAGCACTTGATGCCCTTGGTTAAGTGGTGATGAATGACATCCCTACTAGCAAAGACAAAGCAACAGGACTGAAGCACAATGCCTGCTTGGAGAGTTTCCTTGGTAAAGACTTTAGGCAGAATTTGCTGATATAGTTTTAAAAACTGCAGTTTAGGCAAAATATGCTGCTTCTTATCTTGTACTCTGAGAATTATTAAAGAGACAAACTGAGCATTCTTTTGAGATGCTACAGCTCGCAAAGAAGATTTTCCTGAATTTAAGAGTCTATAATCATGCCTGTGAAGACAAGTATGATGGAATATAGAGAAATTTAGCTTATTTCATGCTGGTACATCAAATCATTTCCTTGGAACAGGCATGTATTCTTAATTAGTTTCAAAATTTCAAATGCCAGGCAAATCAAAGCTACAGAATTCTAACATTTGTTTTTGGAAGAAAAGCAACAACACAACAAAAACCCTTCATTAATAAACTATATTGACCTTAGATGATAAAGACAGAAACAGAAGCAAACATAATTAAGCTTGGTTGGGAAAACTCATTTTCTTCCACAAAATTTTGCATCTAATTTAAAACTTAAGTTTTAAAAACAAAGCCTAGTAGTCAAAAGATTTCAGTCAAAGGACAAATTTTCCTTCAGTTTCAGCCACAGTATACTAACTGCCACATGAGATGTTTACCAAATGTTTGAAGAATTAAACAAGTCAGTCATAAACAAGCTGTAAGTAAATTTTTAGACAAAAATATAGTGTAAATACTAAGAAAACAAAAACCCACCGCCATCGAATCGATTTTGACTCATTGCAACCCCTCAGGGTTTCCAAGGCTGTAAATCTTTACAGAAGCAGATTGCCTCATCTTTCTCCAGTGGAGTGGCTGATGGGTTCAAACCGCCAATGTTTTGGTTAGCAGTCAAATGCCTTAGCCACAGAACCACCAGAGCTCTTTAAATACTAAGAAAAGGCTAATAATATGCTGTTTATATTATTTTCTTTCATTTTTAAAGATCAGGACTATATTATATCTATAGATTGCTTTGGGTAGTATTGACGTTTTCAGAATGTTAAGTTTTCCAACCCAAGAGCATGAAATATTTTACCATTTATATCAGTCTCTCTTGGTTTCCTGAAGTGCTATTTTGTAGTATTCCTCGTATATGTCTTTTGCATCACTGGTATTTTATCCTTTTGAAGTCTTTCATTTTTTTTAACTGAATGAACACCCTCTTCAAAGAAAGGAACTACAAATCTGCAAATGACCCAACTATTAATCCTGGGATTGACTCTCAATTACCCACTTGCATATTAAAAACAAATCAAACTCACTGCAATTGAGTCAGATCCCACTCATAGTGACCCCTTCTTGGGTTTCTGAGGTGGTATCACTAACAGAAGTAGATTGCCCAACCTTCCTTCTGAGAAGCCGCTGGTGGGTTTGAACTACCAGCCTTCTGGTTAGCAGTCAAATGCCTTAGGCACTAAGCCACCAGAGCTGTGTTAAAATTATAAGGTCTAGCTGTTTCACCATGCCACCCAACTACATTTCTGGGCGAGTATATTCAGTACTTATCTAGGAGTTTAAACTAAATTTTATAATATGCTAAAGAACACTTTAAGTAAGTTAAATCTACCGCTTGGCAGACAACAGAACACCAACAACCACACTTCATAGTCACGGCCAAACAAATTTTAATCATGGGTAGTTTGGGGTGAGTTCTATCATTCCATTAAAATCCATTAAAATCAAATGAATTCTTCCCTAATACGTGTTGTTATTTGTTGTTATTTGCCGTCGAGTCGCCCCCGACTCATAGCGACCCCTCCTTGGGTTTCCGAGGCAGTATCACTACGGAAGTAGGATTGCCCAACCTTCCTTCCGAGGAGTGGCTGGTGGGTTTGA